TGGTCGTGTGTCCTGTTAAGGTTGGTGAGAAGTTTGAGTGGAGGGTTTAGGTTTGAGTGTAGTGTTCTATGTATGTAGCAGGCACATGAATAAGTGTGGATGCTCTTAACGGTGAGCAGTTTTAGACGTTTGAATAATGGTGGAGTATACTGTCGGGAGTGGGGATTTGTTGTCATTCTGACTGCAGCCTTTTGTTGAGTTATTAGTAGCCTTAGGTGATTTAATGTTGTTGATCCCCTTGTACAAATTCCATATTTGAGATAAGGGTAGATGAGTGAATGATACAGTGCAAGGAAAGCTGATTGTGGAACATAGTACTGTATCTTTGATAGTATGCCTACTGTCTTAGAATTTTCTTAGAAATTTGTTGTATGTGTGTCTGGAATTTAAGGCTACAGTCTAGGAGGATTCCTAGGAATTTTCCCTCTGTGAGTCTTGTGATGGGTGATCCGTTATATTAAGTGGAATATTTGCAGCTCTGTTTCCAAGCTGAATGAAATATGGTTTGTCAGTATTGAGGTAAGATTATTTGTCATCATCCAGGTAGATATTTTCTGCCATTCGGCATTAACAGTGTTAGCCATTATGGCTGGGTTTGGGCGAGAGAAGATGTATATTGTGTCATCTGCAAATAATATGGGTTTGAGTAGCTTTGATGCATTTGGTAGGTCATTGATGTAAATGAGAGAGGAGTGGGCCAAGGACACTTCCTTGTGGGCCACCGACTGTGATTGGTTGAGTGGAAGAGTTTGCTCCATTTGTGTACACATAATGGCTTCTGTTACTAAGGTATGACTTCAGGTAGTTGAGGGACTGCCCTCTTATACCATAGTGCGTTAATTTAATGTGCAGCAAATCATGGTCAACTGTAACAAAAGCTTTACGTAAATCAATGAAGATTCCCAGCGGGACTTCTTTCTTCTCGAGAGCGGTGTATATTAGTTCTCGCATGTATATAATAGCATCATTTGTGCTTTTATTAGTCCTGAATCCAAATTGACAGGGGTTTAGCATGTTGTGTGAGACGAGGTAGGAATAGATCTATGTATGAATTAATTTTTCAAAGATTTTAGAGAGCAGAGGTAGGTTAGATATTGGTCTATAGTTATTCAAGTCGGTTTGATCACCTCCTTTGTGGATCTGGGTGACCCCTTGCTGTTTTGAGAATTGCTTGGAAGGTGGAGGATTCAATGGATTTGTTAAAGAGTGTTGCAATAATTGGTGACAATACTTGTGATGCTCTTTTGTACATAAAAGGTGGTAAGTTATTTATGTCCCCTGCCTTGTTTCTAAGGGTGCTGATGATGAGCGAGACTTCTGCTGGGTTGGAGCTAGGAGTAGGGGTTTGTATGTTTTTGTAAATTTGATTGTTTTGTTTTTGGATATTTTTTTTGTTCCTAGAATTTCGGATAGGGATTTCCAGGTCTTTTTCATATCACCTTTTATGTTATGTAATCTGTTTTCATAATACAATTATTTTTACTTTATTAGGCTGGCAAGGATTGATAAGTAAGGTTTACAATGGTCTTTAGTTATCTGACCCATTTTGTATTGTTTTTCTTATAGGTGCTTTGTGTTAATGGATTTAAGGATGCTGGGTGTTAGCCAGGGACTGTTCAGTCTCTTAGCTGTGATCTGTTTAGTATTTTTTAGGGCAATGCTTATTATAGAGGTAGTGGACTTTTTTTTTTTTTTTTTAGAAAATTATTAATACATTCATCTGTGTCTGTATATGTTTCAAGCTCATTATGCCAGTTATAAAGTTATTAACAGCTGTTTCATTATGTGGTCTGAAGGTAACTTTAACAGTGTCTTGGGGCAGTTTACCTAGGTTGGTTATGAGAAAGGTAGTGTAGTGGTCTTTGATTATGCATGATTTTAAAGAGGATATGGTGTTAGCCCAGATGTGGTCTAATAAGGAGATACTAGTCTCGGAGATTCTTGTAGGTTTTGTTATTGTTGGTATCAACCAGCAGTTGCTCATAGTGTTTGTGAATCCGGTTACTTGTGGGTCCTGGTCATGTAGTAGATTTATGTTGAAATCTCCTGTGAGCAGCAAGTGGTCTTTGTTCATATGTGCATCAGTTATCATGTTTCCTAACTTTTCACTAAAATGGTAAATGTTTGACTGTGGTACTCTGTTGATGTTTATCACTGTAAGGGGTTTTTGCAGGTCTTTTAATTTAAATTTAGCTATAATATATTCTCCTTGTTCATCTCTTGTGCAAGAATTATTGATACATTCAAGTTGATCTGAGTAGTATACAGCTGTTCCACCCCCTTGCTGTTCTGTCCTACAGTTGTCTATGGCTGTGTAACCAGGAATGGCATAGACATCTGTAGTACCAGGCTTTAGCCAGGTTTTGGTGAGTGTGATGATTGACATACTGGTATTAAGGGAATTGAGTAATGCTGTGAGGTCATCATAATGTTTGCTCAAAGATCTGACATTGTAATTAAAGATTTATTTATTTATTTATTTATTTATTTAGTAATTTTAGCATACATACAGAGGTACACAAAAATACAGATAAGAGCAGCATGCCAAAGCCACTTATTTGCATAGCATTACGGGCTGACTTAAAATTAACTTAAGATTACTAAGTAATGATGAAATCAGTGATAAAACATTAATGTAAACAGATTACTATAAAGCACACGTGAGTATTACAAAGACAGGTCATATGGTTGCATGCATTGTTGTACATTCAGTCGTATGGAGAATTCTGTTAGGTAGTGTATTTAAAAAATAGTAAAGTTAGATTGGGTTTTAGGTTTAACATTTATGTGATATAATTGTGAGAAACATTTAAGATATACAATTTATAAGGTTCAGTTATTCAGTATTTATTTGGTTTTGGGTGAGTAAGTGATCTTTGAGAAGAGACTTGAATTTATAAACAGGTAGTGTTTCTTTTATATTTACAGGTAATGAATTCCAGATTTTAGGGCCTTTTATGTGCATTGAGTTTTTGCATAGTGTGAGATGGACACGAGGAACATCAAAGAGTGATCTGTGCCTTGTATTATGGTCATGTGTTCTGTTGAGGTTGGCAAGGAGATGTTTGAGGGGAGGGTTTATGTCAGAGTTAAGTGTTCTATGTATGTAATAGGTGCAGTAATAAGTATGGATGTTTTGTATCGTGAGTAGGTTTAGTGTATTGAATATTGGTGGAGTGTGCTGCCTGTAGTGAGAATTTGTTATCATTCTAACTGCAGCCTTTTGTTGGGTAATTAGTGGTCTGAGATGGTTAATTGTTGTTGAGCCCCATGCACAAATTCCATAGGTGAGATAGGGGTAAATAAGAGAGTGATATAGGGCCAGGAGGGCTGACTGTGGAGCATAGTACCGTATCTTCGATAGTATGCCTACAGTCTTGGAATTTTTTTTTAGAAATTTGTTGTATATGTGTATGAAATTTGAGTCTATTATCAAGGTGGATTCCTAAGAATTTTCCCTCTGTTAGCTTTGTGATAGGTGATCCGTTTATCATTATGTTAAGAGGGACATCTGTAGCTCTGTTACCAAACTGAATGAAGTAGGTTTTGTCAATGTTTAGTGTAAGTTTGTTAGTCCTCATCCAGGTAGATATTTTCTGTAGTTCGGTATTTACAGTATTGGCTAGCGTGACTGGGCTCAGGTGAGAGAAGACGTATGTAGTGTCATCTGCAAATAGTGTGGGTTTGAGTAATTGCGAAGCATTTGGTAGGTCATTTATGTATAGGAGAAAGAGAAGAGGGCCAAGGACACTTCCCTGTGGGACACCAACTGTAATTGGTTGTGCAGAAGAGTTTGCCCCATTTGCGTACACATATTGGCTTCTGTTGCTGAGGTATGACTTGAGGTAGTTGAGGGAGTGCCCTCTAATACCATAGTGTGACAATTTTACATGGAGCAAGTCATGGTCAACTGTATCAAAAGCTTTACGTAAGTCAATGAAGATCCCCAGTGGGACTTCTTTTTTCTCTATTGCAGTGTATATGTGTTCTAGCATGTGTATAATAGCATCATTAGTATTTTTATTAAGCCTGAATCCAAATTGGCAGGGGTTGAGTATGTTTTGGGAGATAAGGTAGGAGTAGATTCGTTTATGAATTAATTTTTCGAAGATTTTTGAGAGAGGGTGTAAATTGGATATTGGCCTATAGTTATTCAACTCTGGTCTCCTCCTTTGTGGATCGGGGTGACCCTTGCTATTTTGAGTACTGTGGGGAAGGTGGAGGATTCAATGGATTTGTTAAAGTGTGTTGCAATGATTGGTGATAGTACTTGTGACACTTTTTTGTATATAAAGGGTGGTAAGGTAAAAATTATAATAATTATATATAAAAATATAAATTTTATAAAAATATTTAAATAATATATAATTATTTAAATAAATAAATATTTAAATATATTATATATATATATATATATATATATATATATATATATATATATTTTATATTAATATATATATATAATATATATATATATATATATATAAAATGTCGTGCCGAATAGGCAGAACTTGCGATCTTGGCTTAAATAGCAACGCTCATCTTGCCATTTTAGGACAAGTGAAAATTTGTGTATGTAATAATTTCGCCAAAATCATTCTGAACCTAACGAAAAAAAATAAAATTTCACTGTGTTTGTTTAGTATTAAATTGTTGTAAACAAATCTAAATATATTTAGTTGGGTTAGGCTAAAATAAATTGTTCTTGTTATAATGGTTAGGTAAGTTTTCTAAGATTCTTTTGGTGCAAAATTAAAAAAATTTACATTAACATTAATGAAAAAAATATATCTTTAAACGTAAAAGAGAAAATTTCAGAAGGATTTAATTTTAAATGAGTTCTTGTAATTGACAGTTTTACATATTCGGCCACGACGTATATTATATATATATATATATTTTTATATAATAATATATATTTTTATATATATATATATATATATATATATATATATTATATACATTACATAGATAATATAGATAATAATGATAAACCTTACCTGTCAAGAGCGCCACAGACGTGTAGATGAGGTAGCTGTGCCAAATTTTCATACTGACAGATGTGGAGTTGAGGTGTGTTGTAGATCTACAAATCTCATAAGAGCAATAATAAAATTCTTTCAACTAATTATATGGGCTGTATATTACATCACCAGCGCATGTTCAGTTACTGTAACAGGACCCACAAAAAAAACGAAACTCGAAATAAATAATACAATATGTGGATGCAGGTTTTTGGAGGTTGCTCCTCTCTTAAGATGCTATGCTGAAGATAACTTAGCTAATACGTAAGTCCTGACTGGACTCAGGAAGCATTTTACCACTCACATGTGGTCATTTGCAAGGATATTTATCAATGTGTGAATGTAATGGTTTGTTCAATGCTATGTTTTAAATACAATGACAACTATATGATGTATTGGTTTACTTAATAAAGTAGACGAGCATCATCAAGTTAGTCCACGGTTCTTTAATAACTGACATGACACATATTGTGGCGGCTTGGGCACTATAGTCATGTATATTCAGTGGAGATGGCGGCTCACCTTCCTGGTGAAGTACAAAAGCTAGAGGCAACACTGATACAAATATTGAAAAAAATAAATAGCAAACTCAAGCCACGATTAGTCTATGAGCTTCGTGGTGAGACTTCGTGAAACACTAATTTAAGCATACAAGCAGAGGAGACATGTTATGCTTTTGAGGGTTGCCTCTGCTGCATGCTTGCATGTAATGTTATATTACAATGTAAGACGTTAATGCGGTAATTAAGACACTAACCACACGTTTCGCCTGCCAGTGGTTTTATCTGTCCGGGAGAAATTAAACAATAGCTCAAGGCACTATTCGTGTTAAATCCAATTTTTTTTTAAATCTCAGTATTAGGTAATCGGAAAAAAAAAGATCGGTCCTGACAGGATGCGACCCAAGGAGCATGTCAGCTGGCACGCCTTGTGTAGGCTGTGCCTACACAGCCTGAACCTATGTAACATTCCATCCATTTCATAAAATGCATCAATCATTTAAGATTGATGCCGTTCACAATTATATTTTAATTAAAAGTGCTAAACCCGCAGGGGTCACAAAGCGCCTCTGGCTTGGAAGGTAATAAAATTCAATCCAGGGAAGGGAAAGTTAAGTCTAATTCCAGAAAAAAAAAAAAAATTAGGCAACCTCTTAATTAAGAGGCGCGTGAGTTTCCGTCTCCTAATATCATGTTTATTTCCCCCCTACAATCTACTTCTCCAATACAATTTTCCTCAAAGATTTGTTAAGTTATACCATAAATTAAAGCAAGATCCTGGACTTCACCTTACGGAAGCAGACAAGCAAATGCGATAGTAATTATGGACAGGGTAGATTATAGGGGAAAATAACATTAGAAAACAGGGGAACTGACGTGCCCTTAAAGGTCTCCCCTCGGGGATATCTAATTGAGTATGCTGTTAAAGTTAGGCTAGATTAAGTTAGACAAGTATGCTGGACAGGTTTGGTTAGGTATATATGCTGCTTCTGTTGGGCTTTTCATTTGTCCCACTTTCCACTTGTGCTACTGTTAGCTATGACATTTATTCTGGAGCGTTTTTACCCAAGACCGTCATAATTATATTACTTGTCTCACAAGGTTAAATAGCGGCAAGACTCATTTATATTTTTAAATACTCCATCCTATCATCTTATTCCCATTCAGTTACTAAGACTTCTGAGTAATAAATTGCGCATTAAGAACATAAGAACATAAGAAAGAAGGAACACTGCAACAAGCCTACTGACCCATGCGGAGCAGGTCCATGTCCCCCTCCCCCCCGGATTAGACCAATGACCCACCCCCCGGATTATCCCAATGACCAACCCAGTCTGGTCATCCCCACTCAAGGATGGAGCACTGTACCAGACCCAGCAGCACAAGCTAGTCACGTCCAACTCACACCCACCCACACCCACTCATGTATTTATCTAGCCTATTTTTAAAACAACACAACGTTTTAGCCTCAATAACTGTACTCGAGAGCTTGTTCCACTCATCCACAACTCTATTACCAAACCAGTGCTTTCCTATATCCTTCCTGAATCTGAATTTTTCCAACTTGAAACCATTGCTGTGAGTCCTGTCTTGGCTGGAAATTTTCAGCACACTATTTACATCCCCTTCATTTATTCCTGTTTTCCATTTATACACCTCGATCAAATACCCCCTAATTCTACGCCTTTCGAGAGTGTGCAGATTCAGGGCCTTCAGTCTATCCTCATAGGGAAGATTTCTGATACATGGGATCATCTTTGTCATCCTCCTCTGTACGTTTTCCAGAGCATTTATATCCATTCTGTAATACGGTGACCAGAACTGAGCAGCATAGTCTAAATGAGGCCTAACCAAGGATATATAGAGTTGAAGAACAACCTGAGGACTTATATTATTTATACTTCTAGATATGAAGCCAAGAATTCTGTTAGCTTTATTGCGAACACTAATGCACTGTTGTCTTGGTTTTAAGTTACTGCTAACCAGAACTCCTAAATCCTTTTCGCAATCGGTAATATTAAGGTCTACATTATTTAGTTTATATGTGGCATGGCTATTTAACTGTCCAACATTTAGAACTTTGCATTTGTCAATATTAAACTGCATCTGCCACTTCTCCGACCATTGCATCAGTCTATTCAAATCATCCTGGAGTGCTCTAGCGTCCTCATTAGAATGAATTGGATGGCTTATTTTGGTGTCATCAGCAAATTTGCTTATGTCGTTATTTATTCCCTCATCTATACTCATCTATGTCGTTTATGTAAACTGTGGCTTTTACGCTGCATTTTTGTCATAGATAATGACAAAAAAAAAAGAAGCTGCTGGAAACATCTTCAGAAATAATACTCGGCAGACTACTACAAACTGTCAAACTGTCTGCAATACAAACTACTGTTGACACTGTATATGACCTCTCCTTACACCTGACCTCTCCTTACACTTGACCTTTTCTCACACCTGACCTCTCCTCACACCTGACCTCGCCCCACACTTGACCTCTCCTCACACCTGATCTTTCCTCACACCTGACCTCTCCAAGCACTTGACCTCTCCTCATACTTGACCTCTCCTCGCTTGTCTCACATGCGGCGAAATTTCTCAATTTATTTCTTAAATCATGTTTTGATACCTCGCAAAGAGGCAGCTTCTTAGACGATCTTTTGACAGAAATGTCTAAAGGTGCGTGCCATTCTACCCCTTACCTGTAACTTGCTCATTTATTATCGTTTGTCAAGATCATTATTGCCTGTACTCACCTATTTTTGGTTAAAGTGGTCAATTCATAGCTCCTGGCCCCGCCACTTTGCTGGTCGCTAATAGGTCCACTCTCTCCCTTCTCCATGAGATTTATCGAACCTCTTCTTAAAGCTATGTAAGGATCTTCCCTCCACCACATCACTCTCCAGACAGTTCCACTTCCTGAAAACTCTGACTGAAGAAATACTTCCTAATATCCCTGTGACTCATCTGAGCTTTCAACTTCCAGCTGTAACCCCATGTTGCTGTGTTCCATTCTGTCGCTATCCACCTTGTCAGTTTCTCTCAGAATTTTGTGTCGTTATCATGTCCACCTTATCCCTTCTGCTCTCCAGTGTCATCAGGTTGATTTTCCTTTAACCTTTCCTCGTCGGGAATACACCTTAGCTCCGGGACTAGTCTTCTTGCATACCTTTACAATTTCTCTAATTTCTTGATGTGTCTGATCAGGTGTGGGTTTCATATTGGTGCTGCATACTCCAATATGGGCCGGACGTACAAGGTGTACAATGCCTTGAATGATTCCTTATGTAGATGTCGAAACGTTAAGTTTGTCAGGCCCCCATGTGTTGTAGCAGTTATTTGGTTGATGTACACCTCAGGAATTGTGCCCTGTATGATGCTAACACCAAAACCCTTTTCCTTGAGTGAATTTTGCAGCCTTTGACCTAGGGTGTACTCCGTCTGCGATCTTCTTTGTCCTTCCCCAAACTTCATGACTTTGTACTTGCTGGGGTTAAACCCCAGGAGCCATTTGTAAAACAAGGTTTACAGCCTGTCCAGATCTCCTTGTAGCTTACTTGATCCTCGTCCAATTTTGTATTCTCCTCATTAGCTTCACATCGTCTGCAAACGGGGAAAACTCTGAATCTATCTCTTCCGTCATGTCATTCACATATATTAGAAACAGCACCGAACCTAGGACTGAACCTTGTGGAACCCCACTGGACACATGTACCTACTCTGACACCTCGTCACGCACCAACATTCGTTGTTTCCTTCCTGTCAGGTATTCCCAGATCCATTGCAGTACTTTCCCCTCCTATTCCTGCCAGCTCCTCTAGCTTTTCAACCAGTCTCTTGTGTGGTACTGTGTCGAAAGCCTTCTTACAATCTATGAAGATGCATTCTATCCATCCCTCTCGTCTTACTCCTGTTATCTTATCACAGAACTTCAGTAGATTTGTGATGCAAGATTTCCCTTTCCTTAAGCAGTGTTGGATGTCATGTATAAGCCCGTTCCTTTCTAGGTGCTCCACCACTCTTCTGATAATCTTCTCCATAACTCTGTTACATACTATACACGGCAGCAACACAGGTCTGTAGTTTAGTGCTGCTTGTCTCTCTCCTTTCTTAAAAATTGGGACTAAATTTTCTGTCTTCAACACCTCAGATACATAGCGTATTTGCTCCTTCTCTCAGGACACACGGAGAGATGTTATCTTGACCCACAGGTGCACCCTACTCCTTAGGTTTGCTGGAAGCCTCTGTCTCCACTGTGAATACCTTCCTTAATCTTGAGCTGAGCTCCTCACAGTCTTCCTGGTCGCTCCCAGTGAGCTCCCCTCCTTCCTTCCTCAGCCTGATTACCCGGTCCTTTACTGTTTTCCTCCTGATGTGGTTGTTCTAATTTAAACATAACCCTTAATTCAAAACGCAAATGATACCCGTGTGCCAAGAGTCATGTAATAAACAATCAAAAATTAATTTAGAACATAAAAACTTATTAGGTATCCTCAAGAAGGGATAACTTCAGTGTTAGCCACAAATTATTCCTCCTCTAAGGTTTCCAGCTGACTCGATTTTTTTTTATTTTAATGACGCTGAAGTGCTAAACCCGTAGGTGTCATAGCGCCTCGAATGGGAGGCAGTGAGGTTGGACCCAAAGAGGAGGAAGACAAGTCCAGTTCCTTGGATCGAGAGCCCCTCGCCGGCATCAAGACACCTTAGGGCTTAGAGGGACGATAATTTAAAAAGCCTCTTTGTCTTCAAACTTTCAGCGTTAATACACTTTACAGGAAGGCTGAGACGGTTATTGGGACTTGTAAGTGCCAGTTTTATTGAGCATATTGGTATACTAGTGTCGGGGATAACATGAGAATGCCTCTTCTGATCAGCTACAAACTTTCCATGCTGGTATATTTGTCTTCGAGAAAGGTTCGGATTGGTTTTGCCAGTTTTACTGAATAAACTGGGATATTGGTTTCCAGGAAGGGGTATACCTCCTCTCTAAGATCATACAGGACTGAAAACACATCTAGTCATTGTGAAAGCGTCCTGGTTGTATACAAATAAAAAGAATGTAATGATTGAAACGTCGAGTTTGCACTATTAAATTCTTTTTAGAATCTAATCACACCATCGTGACTAGATTCTGGGAAGACTAGTCACCTCTTCGTATGTTTGCTGCAACAAGGAAGTTCAAAGAAGTGCGTCAAGGAGTGACGCACTTCCCCGCCTCTCCCCTTCACTTCCCTGAGTTGTTTATATGAATGACTGAATGGTGTGTGGAGGGTAGTTTGCCAAGACACACAAGCTATAATGCAGTATATATATTCAAAAGTGTAACCGGATTCTATACCCATTCCTTACTGAAATTCTGGGTACGCCTGCCGCCAAGGCAATAATTTGAGTGCCACCAAATGTACCTACCAGGAGAGTGTTCTGAGGGTCAACGCCTCCTCGGCCCGGTCCCAGACCAGGCCTATACATCTAATACAACTACCATCTAGCCTAACCTTGCCACTACTGGGCTTCGCCTAATGTTTCAATCCCTTCTATTATCATTATATATTTAAATTAGCTCACAGGCAACCCCCACATCGTTTACTGATCAAATTACTGAATTATATTTGCATTTAAAACATGAGTAATCAGTCATAATTTGTAAGTTAGGTGCTCTCATACCTAACCTAGTTCTGTAACGGAACAAGTGCTGATGCTATAATACCTAGCCTAGTGCTGCTGTACTCACCTAGTTGTATTCACCTAGTTGTGGTTGCAGGGGTTGAGGCATAGCTCCTGGCCCCGCAGTACCAACTCGTGTTAACAATGAAATACTTTGTTTAGTGCTGCTACAACTATAGTACCTGGTCTAGTGGTGCTAGTGAGACACCTAGCTTAGTGTTGCTACTAAGGTACCTAGCTTTGTGTTGCTACTGAGGTATCTAGATTAATTGTTACTAAGGTACCAAGCTTAGTGTTGCTGAGGTACCGAGTCTACTGTTGCTACTAAGGTATATTTTGTTATTACTGAGGTATCTAGATTAGTGCTGCTACTAAGGTACCAAGCCTTGTGCTACTATGGTTTGTCTTAGTGCTGATACTCTGATATTTAACCTACTGTTACTCAGGTAATTAACCTATTCTTATTCAGGTATCTAGCCTAGTGCTACTTACTACGAAGATGCCTAGCCTAGTGTTACCACTATGGTAACTTGGGCACATGGCTTAGTGCTGTTACTACTGTAGTTAGTGATACTGCTGATGTTCCTAGCATAGTACTGTTACCACATAAACTAGTGTTATTACCGCACCTGCTAGTACTAGTAACTAACCTAGTAGTGCTAGTTATTACAAGTACCAGGACAGGACGACAAGCTTCAGAAGGCAGGCAAATGTCCTAGTCTCTCAATTAGCACGAATCCTTTCCCCTCAAGGGAGGTTCCTTGACGCTGGTGAGGGGCTCTTGATCTAGGGAATTGGATCTGTGCTCCGGTTCCCTGAATTGAGCCTGAATACCTTCCATCTACCCCCCCAGGCGCTGTATGATCCTACGGGTTTAGCGCTTCCCCATGATCATAATAATAATAACACGAATCCTTCGTAATATCACAAATCCGGCCGTCAACTGACAAAAAAGGATTCACTTCTAAAACCAGCATAGGCCAGTAGGCCTACATCATCACGGAGAGAGAAATGCAGTGTAATGAGATCCATTACTGACAACGTTTCGCCCAAGCAGTGGGCTTTTTCAGATGGTGACTTGAAAAAAACCCACTGGGTGGGCAAAATGTTATCAATAAAGGATCTCATTACACTGCATTTGTCTCTCCGTCTTCCTGTTTTGTTTGTATTGACTTGATAACACTCCTGGCGAGCGAAACGTACCTGCAATAAATGTCTCACTAGTTGCTCATGTGCCCTGTTACCTAACATAGACCTGCAGCAAGAACTGGCACACCGCTATTAATTTTCCGTAGGCCTCTGCTAGGCCACTGAAATCACTATGACGGAAATAAAAGTTTCAACACTGCTTCCAATGATATTCACTTAGGTTTTAACCACTCAGAAACGCAATGACGATGTGTGAATGGGTGTTAACAATCACCTTACAGACCGGCGCGTGGCAGAGGATAGCGGGCAACTGAGCACTCGTTTTCTATTCCCTCCTAGTGTGAGAGTTGGTCGTGGTTGTGTGTTTGTATGTGTTCCGGTGGGGATGAGGAGGTCCTGTGTGTGGGGAGGGGAGAGGGGGTTATAATGCGTGACAGCGGGCTTGAATGGGTGTTTTTTTGTGTGTTCTCATCTAAATGTGCGTGGCAAGAGCTGTATCTCTCGGCCCTACATCTTAACAATAACAGATATGAGTGACTACTGCCAAACGGTTCCAGCTTCTTGGATCTGGTCTTATTTCCACTTGAACCCATGTATATAATGTTCTGGTTTTTCCTTACCTAATGGTTTTACTTCCTACCTTGAATAAGGTTCTGTGTACATCTGTTTGGCTTATTTGTGTGTATAATTTTAATTAGCCTTATGGTCCCAGCCTTACCAGTTTTTATTTGCCTACGCTGTTATTATTTGTGTATTTTGTATGTTATGATAATGTCGCATCTGAGCTTTCTCTCTATCACTCTGATATTCTCTTGATCAGCTGTGTGAAAATCAAACGACTCTGCTTATTATTTTACTAATATAAATAATTTAACAGCAGTGCTCATACAATACCGACAAGTTGAAGAATTAGTGACTTTATCAATACAATACCGAGACAAAATCAGAAGTCTGAAGAGGTAGAAGATGAGGTAATCAGTCGCTCAGCCTAACAGTAGTTTGAAAAATGGTTTAGAAAACCTTCAAGTTGATAAGTGAGACACTAGTGCAACATTTGGGTATCTTTTCTGGAAACGTTTCTCCAGCCAGTTTCTTCTTCAGTACAAAATAGAGAAGGTGGACGATGAGAAGTCGCTTGAGGTAATGAGCTAAACCCATAGGGATCATACAACACATGGGGAAATGGGAGGAAATAATATGCAGTCCAAAGAAGGGGAGAAGAGATCCACTTCTTTGGATCAAGAGCACCATGCTACCGTCTCTCCCATGTTTGTGTACTCTGAAGAATATTATATCATCAAAGACCTTTTTAAAAAATTTCACTAATGACTTCATCACCTTCCAGGGTACGTATGTCACTCTCGCACCTATCTGGCACATTTCTTAAATCATTTGACACATTATAAATATCTGATAGTGATTTAATTAAGACTTCCTGCAGCACATCCACAAACATTTATGTCACTACCTTCTGCTGTAGCAGCATGTTGTGGCTTCCCTTCTCTCACCTCCGGCATTACTTCTCGTTCAGATGAAAAGAATTTTTAGAATTTTTTTAAGTTCTTAACATACGTTGTTGCCATTTCCCCCTGAATACTTCCCCATTTTTTTTTCAGTTCCATTACATGGTGTTTTACAGACATCTTACGGGCAATGGAACAGCTTGGGTTTTTTTTCTAACAATTTATGTCGTTCTTGAAGTGCTTCTCAGCTTTCTTTCCCTACTGCTACGACTTCTATTACTACTTCTACTCAACTACCACTACTTCTATTATTATTGCTGCTGCTGCTGCTGCTGCTGCTGCTGCTGCTGCTGCTGCTGCTGCTGCTGCTGCTGCCGCTGCCGCTGCCGCTGCCGCTGCCGCTGCCGCTGCCGCCGCCGCCGCCGCTGCCGCCGTCGCCGCCGCCGCTGCCGCCGTCGCCGCCGCCGTCACCACCGCCGCCGCTTCCGCTGCTGCTGCTCCCACTATATTACTACAACGTCGGTCAAAGATGATATCAAATACCGACCAGTCTTTAAATGCGACATGTGAAACACTGGGATATTGTTAGGGCAAGTTTCCGCTAAGCGGGAGCTTTGTAAGTCCAATACACACACCGAGAAGAAAGTACAATGATAATGGCGGAGGAAGGACCGAAATCTCTAAAAGTTTCTCTCTGATTGTGGGTTATTTGTGAAAAGTACTCGTACATATAGACAGGATAAGGTCAGGTATAGAGCACAAGAATGGTCACAGCTTATAGAGATATTACGGTGTCCCGTGGCCTAGTAGGCAACGCTCTCCTCTCAGACACTAAGTGTCCGTGGTTCAGTCCCCGGCCGGGTGGAAACACTGGGCAAATTTCTTTACACCTGCTGTCCCCGTTCACCTAGCAAGCAAGTAGGTACCTGAGTGTTAGTCGACTGGTGTGGGTGGTATCCTGGGGGACAAGATTGAAGGACCACACTGGAAATAAGACAGTCCTCGATGACGCACTGACTTTCTTGCGTTATCCTGAGTGACTAACCCTCCGGGGTTAAAAATCAAAGCAAAATCTTATTTTATCTTAACTCTTAACTAGATCAAAGCGACACCTGGGCATCTTTATATTTGAGCGATGTTTCGCCCACCAGGGGATTTATCAGTGTAATGAGATGTCAAATTTCAAACAGGTCAGCTGATCGGGGCACTAATAATTCAGACAAAATCTGAGTGCATTTAACCACATCAACTGTCTACTCGGATCCTAGTGAGTGACATAGGTTTTGTTCAGATTATGTTTACCACACGCATATTAATGCACTTTCAAACGTTCTTCGATTTTCCTCGATATTTCATGTACATAAACTTTGTTATTATTGAAAGAATTAAGAGTAAGACGGAGAATAGGATAGCAGATGAACAAGGAGGCTTTAGGAAAGGTAGGGGGTGTGTGGACCAGGTGTTTACAGTGAAACATATAAGTGAACAGTATTTAGATAAGGCTAAAGAGGTTTTTGTGGCATTTATGGATTTGGAAAAGGCGTATGACAGGGTGGATAGGGGAACAATGTGGCAGATGTTGCAGGTGTATGGTATAGGAGGTAGGTTACTGAAAGCAGTGAAGAGTTTTTACGAGGATAGTGAGGCTCAAGTTAGAGTATGTAGGAAAGAGGGAAATTATTTCCCAGTAAAAGAAGGCCTTAGACAAGGATGTGTGATGTCACCGTGGTTGTTCAATATATTTATAGATGGGGTTGTAAGAGAAGTAAAAGTTGTCACAGTTGCTCTTTGCTGATGACACTGTGCTCTTGGGAGATTCTGAAGAGAAGTTGCAGAGGTTGGTGGATGAATTTGGTAGGGTGTGTAAAAGAAGAAAATTAAAAGTGAATACAGGAAAGAGTAAGGTTATGAGGATAACAAAAAGGTTAGGTGATGAAAGATTGGATATCAGATTGGAGGGAGAGAGTATGGAGGAGGTGAATGTATTCAGATATTTGGGAGTGGACGTGTCAGCGGATGGGTCTATGAAAGATGAAGTGAATCATAGAATTCATGAGGGGAAAAGGGTGAGCGGTGCACTTAGGAGTCTGTGGAGACAAAGAACTTTGTCCTTGGAGGCAAAGAGGGGAATGTATGAGAGTATATATAGTTTTACCAACGCTCTTATATGGGTGTGAAGCATGGGTGATGAATGTTGCAGCGAGGAGAAGGCTGGAGGCAGTGGAGATGTCATGTCTGAGGGCAATGTGTGGTGTGAATATAATGCAGAGAATTCGTAGTTTGGAAGTTAGGAGGAGGTGCGGGATTACCAAAACTGTTGTCCAGAGGGCTGAGGAAGGGTTGTTGAGGTGGTTCGGACATGTAGAGAGAATGGAGCGAAACAGAATGACTTTGAGAGTGTATGAATCTATAGTGGAGGGAAGGCGAGGCAGGGGTCGGCGTTGGAAGTGTTGGAGGGAGGGGGGTAAAGAAGGTTTTGTGTGCGAGGGGCTTGGACTTCCAGCAGGCATGCGTGAGCGTGTTTGATAGGAGTGAATGGAGACAAATGGTTTTTAATACTTGACGTGTTGTTGGAGTGTGAGCAAAGTAACTTTTATGAAGGGATTCAGGGAAACCGTCAGGCCGGACTTGAGTCCTGGAGATGGGAAGTACAGTACCTGCACTCTGAAGGAGGATTATCTGGAGAGAGTTCCGGGGGTCAACGCCCCCGCGGCCCGGTCTGTGACCAGGCCTCCTTAGGTCAGTGTCCCAGGATGCGACCCACACCAGTCGACTAACACCCAGGTACCCATTTTACTGATGGGGAACATAGACAACAGGTGGAAAGAAACACGTCCAATGTTTCTACTCTGGCTGGGAATCGAACCCAGGCCCTCACCGTGTGAAGCGAGAGCGTTAACCACCAGGCCACCAGAGGGGTGTTAATGTTGCAGTTTAAAAAGAGTAGTGTAAAGCACCCTTTTGGCAAGACAGTGATGGAGTGAATGATGGTGAAAGTTTTTCTTTTTCGGGCCACCCTGCCTTGGTGGGAATCGGCCAGTGTGATAATAATAATAAAAAAACTTTCTCACATCCGCTACAACAATTTATGTCGTGGCGGATGTGACAATAAACACCTGGATTTAGTTATATAAACACCTGACATTAGTGATATAAACACCTGGCATTAGTGATATAAACACCTGGCTTTAGTGATATAAACACCTGACATTAGTGATATAAACACCTGGCATTAGTGATATAAACACCTGGCTTTAGTTATATAAACACCTGACATTAGTGATATAAACACCTGGCTTTAGTGATATAAACACCTGGCTTTAGTGATATAAACACCTGACATTAGTGATATAAACACCTGGCTTTAGTGATATAAACACCTGGCTTTAGTGATATAAACACCTGACATTAGTGATATAAACACTTGGCCTTAGTGATATAAACACCTGACCTTAGTGATACAAACACCTGACCTTAGTGATATAAACACCTGGCTTTAGTGATATAAACACCTGACATTAGTGATATAAACACTTGGCCTTAGTGATATAAACACCTGACCTTAGTGATATAAACACCTGACCTTAGTGATATAAACACTTGACCTTAGTGATATAAACACCTGACATTAGTGATATAAACACTTGGCCTTAGTGATATAAACACCTGACATTAGTGATATAAACACTTGGCCTTAGTGATATAAACACCTGACCTTAGTGATATAAACACCTGACCTTAGTGATATAAACACCTGACCTTAGTGATATAAACACTTGACCTTAGTGATATAAACACCTGACATTAGTGATATAAACACTTGGCCTTAGTAATATAAACACCTGACCTTAGTGATATAAACACCTGACCTTAGTGATATAAACACCTGACATTAGTGATATAAACACCTGGCTTTAGTGATATAAACACCTGACCTTAGTGATATAAACACCTGACCTTAGTGATAT